CCTAAAGAGGACCCTAAATGATAAAGAATCCTGGCTCTGCAATGCTTTGTTCAGTAAATAGATTATTCCCCCTGCAGCCAGTTTTACTTCCAAAATGTCTTACTTCATATTATCATATACACCTGGCTTTAGAGTTGTGGTAGTGACTCGTGGATTTTAGATGTGAAAACAAGGAACAAATAAATGTGCTGATAGTGACACAACAGCCCTAATAAACCCTACAGACTGTCTATTTTTTCGACCCAAACAAACAAAGCTTTATATGAAAGAACAAACCATTTGTTAAAATTGAATACATTTAATACATAAAATATATCAGAGGGGAAGTTTCTATGCCCAGAATATAGGCTCCACGTCTCCCATTGATGTGTTTTCTGTTTTAATAATCTATTCTACATAAATGAAGTGAATACTTCCTCTCTAGCCCATACATTACAATGCTGGTGTGACCTAGCTTGCTTTAACATAATCTTTAACACAGATATAAGGTTATGAAACGCCAAGTAAAATTACAGAGGCCACTGTCGTGATAGGGCAAGTGTAAGACAAATATCCACACCACAAACGCTTAAATCAGTGATATATACTAACGTAAATCATTGCCAATGCTATTAAGACGGCTAACGCTAGCTAGCTCTTACAAAGTCGGTTGTTTTGACGGTTAATGCCCGAATTAAACCAACATTAAAAGGTGAAATTGAGCCAGCTACGTGATAAAATAAACGGTATTAAAGAGGCGCCATTGTAGACAGAGAGACAAAGTGAAAATTTTCGTGGAGTTACTCTAATTCGTGGTTAGATATTTTGCTAAATGGTAAGAGGACGTGTGAATATCATGGAAATTGTGGGGGTGGCCATTCCCGTTACACCACACCGGCACCGTCACGAGAACATCCGGGTCATTGATCAAAAATCTGATGCAAGCTTCAACGTCATCCTGGTAACAAGAGCTACACCCTGTGATCAAACTGTGACACATATTTATACAGCAGGGGTGGAGAGGTATTCACAGTTTTTTCTGAAGTTAGAGTAGCAGTACTACAAGGTAAAAATACTCTGTCACAAGGAGAAGTCATTCAAAGTGTCTAAGTATAAGCACATAAGCTTTAGCATCTTAAAATACTTTAAGTACCAAAACTAAAAGTAGTCATTATGCAAAATGGCCCATTTATAATGTGCACAATAGCCTCCATATGGGTAGCCTAATCCACAATAATAAATCCTAAATTATCAGTTGTTACCATTTATTTGCTTGTTTAACATCTGTTTAGGACAACACATAAATTCTGCCTGTGTAGTTCCTACCTGGTGAATGTCTATTTACTGTATGATAGTAATGACATTGTGAGGTAAATAAAAAAAATGCTGAGTGATCCTGCTTGATGAACCAGGCGGACCATATACTGTATAGTACAGTTTGAAAGACATCGGTCTGTGGGCCATAATTGGCATCCTTTCTGTAACCTTAGCTATGTACTGATCAGTTGTCTCTGACATAATATTGTATTCCTGTCTGTCTGCTGCTTGTTGTCATTGTCGTCATTGTTTCATGTACTGTACAGTGACTGCTTGAACTGAATTGCCGCTTTAGGGACTAATAAAGTTGTCTGAACTGAACTGAACTGAACTGAACTGAACTGAAGTCTGACTCTGGACATGCCTGCTATACTGTAACATACAGTACTATACCATAATACATCTGATATTCTGTGTTACTGTTGTACTGTTCTATACTATATGTTATACTAGATTTTAATATCATGTTATTATTACCAGTACTATTATTACATTGCATCTTATACTATATGTTATACCTCATATTATACTGTTCTGTATCATATATCATAATATACTCTATTAATATGTTATACTGTCTTGCCATGCATTATATTTATATTTTGCTATAATTTTACAGACTATAAATTTAACAGAATATTTTTTAAAATTCTAGCATCGCTAATACTTCTAAAACATCTAATTACTTCTTCCACCACTGGTAGTACATTCCTCATATGATCATCACTGATTATGCACCAAACCCCAACAAACTGGGCTTATCATGCAGGGCTGTAACAGATGCTTTGATTAAGAACAGTTATTTAAAATGTTTGTTTCCATTTTCACAGCCCTGAGATCATGGCTAATATTTAGTTTCTTGCACCATCTAGTGGCTGCAGTGAAGAACTGAGTATCATTAAGAGACCTTGTACAGTTGAAAGAATATATATTAATGATAGTGTTTAAATCCAGTGAAAAAGTCAGTAAATTCAGGTGCTATGGTTTAACAACTCCACATGCTTTCATGAAAACATCCGCACAGCTCAAGTGGGTGAGAACTAGACAGACCACGACACAACAATCACTGTTCACTGAGCTAAAGCAACTATGTCCAAAGTCTGACTCCGGGGTCAATTGTGACAGCAATGGCTGCCGCTAACAGGAGATAAAACAATTGTGCTTGTCCCATTTGTAGGTGATTTTTTTCTTAAATAACCCATATAGGCAGCTGGCCCCCTAGTATTTCCACATTATCTTATCATTCAAAAAAAAAAGTTTGGATACCCCTGCTTTTAAGGGCTGTATATGGAGATAGATTATGTAAATGTGTAATCTGTAAATATAAAACACTTTGCACAAATACAAAAATGATTTGTAAATGCAAGAACATGTAACAGATCTGCAAATACAAAAATTCCACAGATACAAAAATAAAAATCTATGAATCCCTTGAATCAATTTACAAATAAATGAAAAGCATTTCTGAATATCTCCCTAACATTTATAACTTCCAAACAGAGATTGGTGAATAAAGTTTTTATCAGTGAATCAAAAAGACATTTGTGTATCTCAGTTCTAGGCTTGTAGATTTGCATTTTACACACACAGAGTTTCTGTCAATTTGAATGAAAATTTTCAGACAGCACTTGATCGCCTACTGACGATGCAATTTCTGCATTTTAAAATTAGACCATGTATATTTACAGATTACACATTAACACAAGGATTGTCGATGTGTTCCAGCAAATATTGAGACAAATCTGTCTCCATAGATGTAGCTACTATGTCAGACACTGAGGACCTGTCCTTGTGGGGTACCATCCTGTTATTACACATGACTTTTATACAGCTGATTCTGGCATTTTTAGGCTAATATAATTAGTAAAAGAAAATAGCATTTAACATCATATTCTTGTGTTGGTCAACAAAAAAAGACAAAATAAAATGCAACAGTTACATGATATAAAATGTGAAGGCTATGTGGTATTTTAGGGCAGTGGTTCCCAACTGCTAGGTCATGGTCTAAAAATGGGTCGCAGGTCCATTCTGAATGGACCACAGGTGACTCGATAGCGTGTCAACTTTGTAGAAACACACTTTATTTTTAAGTGCACCTGTGAGCTTCTGTTCTGTTATTACAGATGTATGTTTTTATCTGAAGACAAGGCATAGACCAACTATTATTGAGACCACTGCACTCTCCTTTTTTCTGTCAATTTCTCACTTGACTTGTCCATTGTTGCCTTCTCCATCCACTCTTTCCAGTCTGTACAATATGACACGCCCATTGATGTCATCACAGTTAGCACTTCAGGTTAAGGAAAACCCGCTAATTTAGGTTCCAGCTGGAAACATACTTTCTGGGTTCTGTACCAACTTAATTTTGGTCAAAATGCTGTAAACGGTTCAAAATTAGATAAAGGAACTAGAACACAACCAGTTCCAAGTTGGTGGAAAAGTGGTATGAGCTGCCTGTTGATCTGAGCGTCATGCACACACACATTTCCTGTGTTAATTATAACTGACAGTAAGTTTACAATGATCTACAACAACAAACACAAAGAGAGAGAGAGAGAGACTCCAAGTAGATGCCACAGATTTTAGTTTTTTTCTTAATAAAACAAACTTGATTGTTTTCATGAAAAAACATTAGGTAAAACACATTTAACATATTTTTAACAACCTCACACATTTTCACTGCAAATGAGTTATTGCATCAATTTTAAAACATCATTGCTTTACAATCACAATGCACTTCTGCTTTCTATAAAATAATAATTACTGTAGTTGAAGAGATGATGTTAGATTAAAACCACTGCAAATCCAAATAGTTCTCATGGCTCATGGCACTTAAAAAATATTAAAATCCATGGAAGTGAATAAAAAACATCTGGAAAGCTGATTTCAGAAAAAAACTGTCATCAAATGTAAGGCTTTTGGTGTATTTTTGTATGAGAAAAGTGCTTCCTTATTTTGGTCCAGCTGGACAGTCCACAGGTGGTCAGAAAACAGACACAAATCTAAGTAAAGCAGCCAATGTTCAGGTGGTTAATAACACTTCAAAAATCCTACGCTTGGTTCATACATACAAACATACTTCCCATCTTGTTCACAGTTCAAGAAAAACATAAAAACATACAAAAAGAGATCATACAAATTGATTTGTTTTGGTCTAACCTGAGCTGTTGTGTAGTCCATGTAATGCACTAATCACTGGTTATAATGTAAAAATAAGTCTAATACAAAGAATTGTAATCGAAATACTGTTTTTGTGACCTTCTACGACAGCAAACAGAGCATGCTGACTGGTAAAGACAGTGAATATCCAGCTGAGGTTATTTTGTTCCTTTAGAAAACCTACTCTGAAAATGTGCCTAAATCAAGATTTCGATGTTTAAAACATCTCAGTAATGTTTAATCTTTTTGCTGGAATTATTGTACAATAAGTTAAAATGCTCACCTGTGTGCAAACTTTAAAATATTATTAATTAAAACTCTACATAAACCAAAACTTTTAAATTATTCTTGATCAAACTATCCTGGTCCACTGATATGAATGTTACGCTATGCTTGGCTGATAATAATGGAGGTACACCTCTCACATTCTTCACACAACTGTTAAGTGTGAGTACTGCATATATTTCTATAATCTATGCATCAGTTTGTGGTGTCTTTGCCATCTTTGTTTGTTTGTCTGATGTATTTGTCTGCCTATGTATGTTTTATGTGGAGATGGACCTGCTCCTATGTTTCTCAGCTTCTGCTCTCTCCTCCTCAGTGAGGGCCCACGGCTGGATCTTCCCGCTGCCAAATAAGGTGAAGACGAGAGCGCCACAGGCATTAATCCCAGCTGCCACCCAGAACACCTTCCTCCAGCCTGCCAGGGTGTGCTGACAACCAAAGAAGAAGAAGAGGCGGTGTATTACTTCAGTGACTCGTCATGTACAGCATGTGTTGTGTGCCGTCTGTAACTATAACTTTTTAAATGTGTCTGCATATGAGGGTCGGAGAAAGCCAATAACAAGAGACAGTTTCTGGTGAGAGAAGCTAATTTAATTGATGAAAGAGGACTGTTTGTAGAATCTTTTGTTTAGAGTTGTTTTCCAAATCCCTCCTCATTTGAAAGACTGGGAAAAATTAGAAGAGAAATTAAGAGATAAGATAAATTACCAGTGGTGGAGGAAGTATTCAAATCTTTTACTTAAAGGTATACTACGAAGGGTTTTTCTATAAATCAACTGAGTGCCCTAACCAGGCCAGCCATGAGGAAAGATGGGTGGAGGGACAACATTTTTAAAAAAGTAGCCCCTCATCCACACCCCTGTACATATTTATACTACCTGCAAATATAATCCCATTAATCATATTTACACGTGTATTCTGTATCTACTTGTACCTATTGTTAAGACCTTGCTTTCTTGTTTTGAAAAGCAGAGGTAGTCAAATATGTGCCCTGGGCCAAAAAATGCCCTCCAATGAATGATTATAGAAAAGTAAAATAAAACATTGATTGAGGAAATTACTACAAGGTATTAAATCGAAAGATCAAATGACTGGTGAACAAATATATTTTTTCTTCATTTATTCATTCTATCTTGGGGCTACTGTAATTAAATATTGCTCAAAATGTGTGCAGAGCTGAAATAGTGTAAAAAGTATGTGGCTCAGCTATTTCCAGTCAAACCCAAGTTTTGCAATTTCAAGACTGTTTAGGGACCACTGTATGCAGAAATGTTTAAATAGGCTACACCATTTTTATAAAAGGCAATGTTCCTTTTTCCCTCGTCAAAATTTAGCTTAACTTTGGAGCATCATTAGGGCCCCTTTTCGACAAGATACAATAACATGGTTGGTACCAATGGATGCCTTAGATCCTCTTGTTTAATATGATACCCGTGTTTTCACCATAGCTTTTAAACTGAGCCCGAAACAGCAGTTTTTATTTCAAATTAGTGTGCCTCACCTCTCACCTTCAGCGTCACCTGTCACACTTGGATCTTCTTCACGTTCTATTTTGTCAGACATTTATCCATCACCTCTCTGCTCCTTTCACTTTCCTGTTCCTTCTGCACCCTGACTTTTCCTTCAGGACTTCCTGACTTTTGGTGAGACATCCTGACTCAGCTAATCAGGCAGGAGTCCGCCTCACGTATTTACATAAGTGGCTCTTGTGAGTTCTGCGCAACGTGTACCTGACCCATGTCAGCTGGACTGTACCATTTCACAATACCTGTGGGGGGCTGGAGTATCAGAAATGTGTTTTAATTATAAAATTTAATTTATTTATCATGTAAATACTTTAAGTCAGTAATAAATTGTTGTACTTGATCTCAATTAAGGGTCAACCATAGACCATTTCATGGGCTCCCTCTGGCCTTGGGTGACCAAAAATGGGGACGTGTCTATTGGTACCCTCCAAAACTTTTCACAATGGAAACGGAAAAATAGCCTCTCAAGTGTAACAAACTGAACTAAACTGGACTGGTTGGCCGGAAACGAAGCTTAAGAGACATAGTGCTGAAAAACACTATACCTTTAAGTAAAAACATAAAAACAAAATAGTATATTTCACACACACACACACACACACACACACACACACACACACACACAGACCAGACAAATCCTCAGTGAAGTCCCCACTGACTTACATCTTCAGTAAAGTATCCCGTAGCTATGGGTGCCAAGACTCCAGGAATGGTCCCAAATGTGTTAGTGATTCCCAAAAGAAATCCAGCGTACCTGAAGGAGAGAGAGCGAGAAGTTATCAGCCTAAAATGTACTACTTTCTATGAAGTCAGAATACAGTTGCTACATTTAATTTAGTGGATAACACATGAACATTTGAGTCAGAAGGAACAGCATCATTAGGTTATTTATACATCTAAGTTTTCATCAGGACTGAAACGATCGGTTGATCAACAGGAAATAAATTCTGATAATTAGTTATCTCAACAAATAAAGCAAAAAACAACCTCTGGTTTTAGGTCTCAATTTGATGTTTTTCTCTGTTTTATATCTTTGTAAACTGAATAATTTGGGGTTTTGAAAATTTGAAGATGTCATGCTCGCCTTCTGAAGAAACTGAAATGGCCACATTCAACCTTAGCCCTAAGCCTAAAAAATGACTGAATTTATGATTAGGGTGAAGGAGTGTGGTTGATTACACCCACCGCGGAGCAATGTCTATTTGGTTCATATAGACTCCAGAGGCAGTGATCCCTCCTAGGGTGCTGGAGAGTGTGAGGAGGGTGACAGTGAGGATGTGGCTGCAGCCAGCGTAACTCACACCCACGAGGAGAGCTGAGGGTGGCAACAGACCTGCAGAGAGGAGGACGATGTTAAAAAAGAAGGAAATAGCAGTGCACTTTGAGAAACCATCACTGGTATTACTGGTTCTCTTTGTGTTTTTAGGTATTAACTTGTGAAAATGGGTGAAACATATAACAGGTTGGTCAGTGGGTGTATATCTGGGTATTTGTGTCATCTTTCAATACTTAATCTAAACCGGATGAGGGCAGCATTACTCTATTTGAAATCATTGTCTTTGAAGTGTGAAAGGGGCAATGACTGTATTTCATAGTGCAATCCTGTCTTATTTAATGACAATAAAGCTTAAACCTAACTATTCAAAAGTACCTACATTCTTGTATTTGAGTAAAAAAGTAAATATTTCCATATTCTACAGTACAGTCTGTACATGTGTATTTGGACAGTAATGTGTTTTCATTGTTTTGCCTCCTCACTCCAACATATTAAGTATGCCAGGAATTAGTCCTAATTCCCGGAAATGAGTTAGCAATGAGTCTACAGAATGTCATCACACCAAACACAGCTTTACAGCCTCATTATGGTGTTGATGTAAAGTCATGTAACCATGGTGTAGTTCAATTATAGCCTAATGTTTGCTTATTACTTCTAGCAATTACATGAATTCTTCAAATAATCCGAAAACTAGTGTTCATTTGTGAAGATTATCTTGCTGAACAAAACCTGTAAGAATCATAAACGTTTGCTTGCCACAGAGCTTATTTTCTGCAATAATCGAAAAGCCAGTGGAAAAATTTATTTTGTCAAGGGAACCAGGGTTATGCTATCTTCCATGTTGACTACAGAAAAAACATCATCCCTGCAGCACGCTATTACATCTTAAATGAAAGGTTGACTACGGGCTTCACAGGGACTTTTAAACCCCTTGTTAGAACCTGCAGTGGAGGGTTCGAACCTGGGGCGGTGGAGCCCCCCTGTGCAGAGTTTGCATGTTCTCCCTTTGTCAGCGTGGGTTTTCTCCAGGTTCTCCAGCTTCCTCCCACAATCTTAAGACATGCACGTCAGGTTAATTTGTGATTCTAAATTGGCCGTAGGTGTGAATATGAGCATGAATGGTTGTTTGTCTCTATATGTTAGCCCTGCAATAGTCTGGCGACCTGTCCAGGGTGTACCCTGCCTCTCGCCCAATGTCAGCTGGGATAAGCTCCAGCAACCCCGCGACCCCTAACAGGATAAGTTGTTAGGGGAAAAAAAATGAATGAATGCACCTTTAAGTGTTTTCATATCCATATTAAGTGATCAGTGTGGGTTTCAATAAAAAGGGACACAAATCTGCACAGTTCATCAGAAGTGGAGGTGCACACGTTGTGCCAGAGCCAAAAAAGATAATGTCATAAGCAGAAAACAGGCTGAAAATGAAGTCAAACTGTCAGGTGTAAACAACTTCTCGGAGTCCTTAACTTCCTCCATACCTGTATCCATTGCCTTGTGACACTCAGCCTGACACATGCAGCACAGGTGTACGGAAGAGATATAAACAAAATGGCTCTGAGGGGAAAAGTTGTTTTTACCTGCAACTGTGAAGAGCTTGCGTACGACAGTGACGCTGAACACCCTCCTCTCGAGGAGACGGTCAGCTACGACACCTGACAGTGTTGAGAACAACCAGCCGCCGAGGTACGGCAGAGCGGAGAGGAAACCATTCTGGACAGAGAGAGAGAGTTGTATTCAAAGGATTTAGTAAATACATGTTGCTCGTCTTCATCCAGTTTTAAATGATATCTAAGTAAGTATATTATAATGCCCTGTCATGACATCTTGGTAAAGACTAATGTTTGACATGCTTAATGTCCTTCTCAAGACCTAGATGAGAAGATTGATGCCTCTCTCATGTCTGTACAGTAAATACGAAACAGCAGCTAGTTAGCTTAGCTTAGCATAAAGACTGGAAACAGGGGTTAACAGCTAGCCTGGCTCTGTATAAAAAAACTGCCTATCAGCACCTCTAAGACTCAAAAAGTCATATGTGAAAAGCAAATTAAAATATAATTACTTAGTAGAAATTTTGTTCCAGGTCTGTTTTAAACTGGGTTGAGTGACATAAAACAGCTAGCATCATTTAATAACAGAATAATGACTTTGTGATGCCGCTTTTAAACACCTTCATGTATGTTGCTGTTTTTTTAGATTATTTTTTTTTTTAGGATTTTTTGCCTTTATCATAAAGTATGGAGATGTACATCAATTATAATTATCATTTATTTTCTATCATTATGTATGATTACTGATTATCATCATTTTTTAACTTGAAATGGAGGAACAAATAAATCAAAACCTCACTGATTTAAGGTCAAAGTGCATGATGACGTTCATTTAGGTAGGCAGGGAGGTGAGCAGGGTGTAGTAGGACCAGTTTGTACACATCTGGGTGATGATGATGGCCCACAGAGGAACCGACAGCAGCATGGATAGAAGGGGCACGGACCAGCCATGACCTGTACCCTGCAGATAGATGACAAAATCTTGAGAAAACACTACACATATATAACGAAAAACACCCCTAATAAATCCTTTTCATCACTGAAATTATGAAACAGTAAACAAGATCAGGTATTAGAAAGAGGGAGGATATAAAGGTATATTATGCAGGATTTTCCTAAAAGAAAACAATTTACAGTCTCACACAGAGAAATAATCCCTCTCAATTATCATTAATGACCCACTAGAAGTGTGGTGGCATATTTATTTGCAGAGACTCTGCCCTCTGCCTGTGTTTTCTTATTTTCTACTTATTTAGCTGTGTTCAGGACACTCGTGGGCACTGCATGCAGGTGAGATCGGACTTTATATAAAGGTAACCGACCAGGTGTTAGGCCATGAGCAGCACGCATTCAAGAGAAAGCTATGAAAATCCCAAAACTGTGCAGAAAAATGACAAATATAGCAAACATGGGGTTGGCTTTCACTTCCCCTGGCGATACTGTTTACAAACAGCAGCCAATATTTCATGCACAGAATACCTTTAAGAAAGAAAAGGCAATTCTGTCAGATGTTCCCATTTAAAGGCATATTGACTTGTTGGCATCAAGACAGCTAAACAACAAAAGGACAGCTGAGGGGAAGAGAAAGTAAGAAAATAAGGGAACATTATGGAAAACAGGACGTTTGAGGAGTTATTTAAGAACAGCTTTTCAATGAAAGCAGAAAAATCTCCAAAATGGAGTCAAGGTGTGAGGGATAACACTGGCTGTGTTTCAGTTCTCGTCCAACATGTCCTTGTTTACTTCCCCTTGGCACCTGCCCTCAAGGGAAATCCCCGCTGCCATGATAAGTGTTGTTTCATTTGTTTGAAAAACTGAAGTGAACACAGTGAGATCAACACAGTGGTCACTCCAGAGGCGTATACTACCCACAATCCATTGCAGTTCTGCATTTGATCAAGGCTCCATGAGAGCTATGGGGTATGACACATGTGTAATGTAACTGGAGCTGTGATGGTGGAGGGTTACAGCAGACACTGCTAGGAATTAAGGGCTGGTGTCTTCTCAGGTGCTCTGTGGGTGCACTCAGCCTGACAGAAATTCTTGGGTGAGCTCAAATGGATGTCAGCTGATATAAAATAGAGCAATATCATATGGCAGGCATCTGTTTATCGTCTTTCTATCGTCTATCGAAGTTTCTTAGGTCAGTCTCAATGATAGCTTGATATTTTATAAAAAAAACTGTAATATAACTAATTGCAGTTATTATTTACTTAGATTGTCGTACTATTCAGCTTGTGTGATTTCTTTATCCCCAACATTATGTAAATGCATGGAAACCAGTATCATAAACCAGTAGCAAAAATAGTTATTATTATTGATATGTTAGTGATATGGCTCACAAACAGAAATTACCGTCTGCTTGCCAAAGTATTACAACTATCAACAGAAGACACCTTCGCCTCATAGAAATAATCGTGTCTGCAGGTATATCTGATGATTAGTGAAAAACAGTAAACTGCTAAGCCTTCAGCTGGTCAATCCATGGTAGTTGGGGTGAAATATCAGATGCATTCAATTTCAATCCTGGCACCTCCCCCACCCACTCTCCTTCTGCTTCCTCAGTGGCTTTTGTGCTACGTAAGCTGTTAAGTAATATGAAGGGCTGTAAATGAATGAGGGGAAGAGGAACTGCTAATAAAATGCGGCGTCAGTTTCAATACTTGTAAAACTCCCTTTCTGACATACAGTTTGGCTAAAAAACAGCTGTATAAATCACCTTCTTGGCAGCTTCCATACAAACCGGTGATACAGGGAAACTGTAGGAGTGGACTTAGAATAATAATTTGCTGTGTAATGTATTTATATTAATCATTTCTTTATCTTGTCAATAAAGAGGAGCTGCAATACAACAATGCACGTCACTGTAAATTAGGTGATGGTTAATGTTTAATGTGCACCTGAGGTCCGATGGAGTTTATGATGTAATCTCTCTCCTCTTTGCTGATTTGACGATGAGTACGAGGGTCATCGGATACAAAAATAAACCAAAAGACGGCCCAGAGGCAACCAGCACCCCCTGAAAGACAGACAGACAGACAGACCGACAGAGAGAAGCTTTTATTGTATATGAAAGTGAACAATTAAAGGAAAGGTGTGGTATTCAGGGTTAAAAGTGAATGCCTGATGCGATAATGAAATCAAACTGCTCCAAATGTATCTTGCATCAAGAAGTTTACATTATTTTAAAAACCCAGTCAGCATAAAAGTAATTTTATTCCTGTCAGAATGCAAACAGAAATAAAGCTATAATATAAGGTAGGTAAAGTAAGATAAAAACCTTAAATTGTTCATGTCATGCAACTAGGGGTGGGAATCTCCAGGCACCTCATGATTTGATAACAAGAGGGTAACGATGTACACACGCCTACGTAGGGTCCAGTGTTTGCACAGCCTACTGTAATATTTCCCCTGAAACAGTATGCAATTCACCTTTTATTTAATAATATTTGGTATGCATCCTTTTTATTTTAATAAGTTAACTGCATTAATGAATTAATGGATTAATCTGAAAGCACCTTACAGTCTCCTGTGTGTATAAGAATAACATGAGGGGGAGGGGGACTGCTCTGCCTCAGCCGCTGTGTTGTTATTTACATTATGCCAGCAGAGGAGCTGTGAGCAGCCTCTTTCTTTGTTAGAGACACTATGCAGGCCAGGCACGGGTTTTTTAAGGTAAAACAGATTGAGCAGAGAGTCATTTTCTTCTGGTTAATGCTGCAAAGTGTGTTGGTCAGCCAGACATTACCTTAAAACAAGCTTGCAAAAGCTGACTTTTGTGACAATAAATTAGTAACTTTAGCTTGTCCACGCTGCAGACTGTCTTTGCAGTAAAGTTCCGCCTCTTTTGTTCCTTCAACATTATGTTATGAACAAATATTTACATTCATTGACATTTGTAAATCGATGCAGAATCATCTGCATCCACATTGCGATGCATCTACGAATACATTTTTTTACCCTACCCCTACATGCAACAGTAAACTACTTGAAACTGAAGTAAAGTCCCTCTTCCACCACTGTTTTTGTGTGGCCTTAGTATTCTCCGAATTACTGCAACTGTTTTCTTTGTGTCTCATTCAGCAGCAACTATTATTTAATCACATTTAACTTCTTTCACATTATTCATTTATATCAGAGAGGGAATTTATGTTCTGCAAATTTAAGTTTCTTATTGTTGTGCAGCATCTACCACCCTGGCATCTTTCCTGTGAGAGACTGAGGTATGTCATGCTTTATATGTGAATATGTGATTGTACTTGGGTGTTTCCCTCCCTCACCACAGATGTAGAAGACAGCAGGCCACCCTAAGGTTTGGCAGATGTAGCCGGTGAGCGGCAGAGCGACAAAGGCCCCAAAGTTGCCCCCAGATCCCGACAGGGACATAAGGCGAGAGCGCTCCAGAGGAGGAGCCCACCGAGCCCACATGGACATCATGGCTGGGAACGTCACACCCTGAAGAAACATGGAGAGACAGGCAGTGAGACGAGAGTGAGACAAGTGTGGCAAACAGCAAGACGCATCCAACACAATCAGTATTCTTGGTAATAAATAATGTGGATGTGTTGCAGTGCTGTAGTCAAGACCACCTAAACCAAGACCAAGTCATTTTCAAGTCTTATCAATGATGAAAATAACTGTTAGTTTCAGTTCTGGTGTAAAAGCAACTAAAGCAGAACAGGATAAACAAATGTTCACAAAAACTCTCAAATTAGGATTAAAAATCTCTTTAAAAGAATTAACTGACCAGAAAGATTAATGAACAATTACATGAATATTGTGTAGAAGTAACAAAACAGACTGGTAAACTGGTATGAAATTCTCAGTCATGGTTGAATTTAACTAAAAAAAACAATATCTGCCAGATGTATCCGCAAATAAATGTCTACAACTCTATTATTGTTGTTAAGTTCATCCTTAAAAGGTTCTGCATTGTAAACTAGAAGTACTAAGTCGTGAAACTGACTGTACACACAGTAGCCTCCTGTGTCCTGCTCAACACATTCTTACCTCTCCAAAGCCCTCCAACGCTCGCAGTGCAAACAGCCAATACGACCCCATCTGGGCAGCCAGAGGGGTGAGCAGCGTGAGGACCGCGGTGCCCAGCACACCCAAACCCAGGAAGATGGTCCCCCCGTAGTGACCGGACAGGTAGCCCCCCGGGATCTGTGTGCACAGGTAGCCGAAGAAGAAGGCTCCCAGCAGCCAGCCCTGAGTCTCCGAGTCCCAAGGATACTGGGGGACCTGGGACAAGAGGACAGAGAGTGGGAAGTGTTTATGGTAACAGTTTTCACCACTTAGCGAAGGCAATAGAGGTTGTATACAGTCTGTCTTCATCACAAATGTGTAAATAGCAGGGATGCACCCACTGTGAGATTCTGGGCCGATACCAATATTCTGCCGATAAATTGGTGCATCCCTAGTAAATAGGGTGAAAGCAGATAGGATTGAGATCTGTCTCAGGCAACATTCATATAAGGAAAAATCTGGACTGGAATTTTCCAGTCAAACCAGTAATTTTTAGTACTTTTGCCTTTATTAGATAGTAAAGTCTAGCATGAAATGGGAGGTAAGAGAGGGGATGACATGCAGCAAAGGGCCTGAGATGGAATGTGAAATGTTAAGGTTTTCCTCCAATTTGAAGTTCATAACTGCACTGCAGTGCCAAGTCAAAGTAAAAACAAAACTATATCAGTATAAATTATACATAGGCTACAGTGTGAACAGAAAGAGGACCAATCAGAGCTGAAGTGGACCAGAGAGAGAACTGAGTCCTCTTTCAAATGAACTGACAATGTGAATGCAAGAAGAACTGAGTCCCCTTTCTGTCTGTCCACTTTTTGGTCCACTTTAAGAGTACTGAGTTTGGTTCCTTTAAAAAGGACCAAGTGTGAAAACACCCTTAGACTTACTTAATTTAAAGACACAAATCTACGTACTGCATGTTATCTTATAGCAGGTGCCCTATCAAAAGTGTTTCATTCCAAACTACACACAAGTTGTAACATGTTTAAGATTATTCTTTAAGTATGTTACCCCCTCAGGTTGTAGTAAAGTGTCACTGGTGTTTTCCGTCCCTGTTGGCAGGGGACAGGCAGAGGTGATGGAGCTGTTCTGGGCTGGTTTGGAATCAGTGGTATTCACCATGGCTACCATGGCAACACTCAGGTTGACACGAAGACCGTAGACCATGGAGAACCCCAAGAACATCAGGAAGGCCAGGTTGAGGCGAGCCGAGCAGCACACAGGAGGAACTGTTCACATAGAATACAATGATTTTAACATGCAGTCTGGATTGAGAGCATGGAGTCATTGTGAATATCATTTCAAATGTTTCAGATTAACATCAGAATTAAAGGTCCAGTGTGTAGGATTAAGGGGATACGTTGGCAGAAATGGTATATAATATAACAAGTATGTATTCTTTAGTGTATAATCACCTGAAAATAAGAATTGTTGTGTTTTTATAACTTCAGAATGAGCCATTTATATCTACATACTAGGGAGCGGGTCCTCGTCTACGGAGATGATGAGAAGATGCTATGTTGCACTGCAATGTTTCTGTAGTAGCTCAGAATGGATGAACCAAATGAGCTCTAAACAGGGTCATTTGCATTTTCATGTCAGCCACCATAGTTAAAATCCCCTCTGCTACAAGCAGCATTGGAAAAACACAGATATTTTGCCATTACACTGCTTTATTAAGTGTTTGTACCAGTTTAAATCACACTGAAGGAATTCTAACTGGGAGAAGCTTCAGCTAGTTGCAATCTGCAATCCTCACCACTGGATGCCACTACATCACCGTAAATCTTACACACTTTTTTAAACAACTACTTCTTCTTCAGCTAAATAAATTAATCAAAAGGACATTTAATTACAGAAACAGTGTCTCAAATCAGAAAAAATGCTGATGAAAAGCTGATGTCATGCAGAAACACGTTTCCGAAGATAAGGACACTAAACTAATGCAATTTTTAAAATGAATTATTTTAATTAACTTATTTCAGATTGCTTTACTAATAACAAAATTAATTCTACTTGATCAACCATCAGTGTTAAACTGATATCCACTCTCACTCTACTCCTCTTACTCTATTTACTCTACATATTCAGCAAAGTTTCCAGATAGGTGATCACCCTTTTGTTTAACAGCACAAGAGGTAATTGCATTAGATTGGGTTAATTAGTAAATAACATAACATAATTTAAAAAGCCTCTGAGGAGCTGAGGAGCTATTGTGTAATGCCAACTCCTCTCCAGTTACATTTAAAATATTACTAAAAGACGCAAATGAAATGTTACTAAAAGGCAGAATTGGTAATTATATTAAAAAGGAACATTTTATATAATAACCTAATTTTGTCTTAAGTAAGCATCTTGTGAGCAGAGACCCAATTAACTACTCTTTTAAAAATCAACTTTAAAGAGCAACTTTATTGTTGGACCAACTTTTTCCAGCTTGTGGTCTTAAATGGGTCACTGGTCACAAGCTGAAACACGCTGATCTGACAGTAAAGTTTTTATACTACAAGTGTTGCTAGAAAGCAAGTGACCAGAAATCCCTTCTCTGCTCCGTCTCCTATTCTACTAAACACTTTAAACCACATGAAATATAAAACGGATCATCAAAATAACTGTCAGTTGCAGTTTTAAGTATAAATACAGCTGACACTACTTGTCTTGAGAGTTTTAGCATGACGCAAATCCAAAATCTTAAAATAACAAAGATAAACACACCTGCATCATTCTCGATAAGGGGCTCACTGTCCTTGCGCTCCTCCGAAGGGGCTGAGTTGATGGAGTAGCCATTTGGTAAAGGCATGGCACCCGGCTGACCCGGGAAATATCAAGTCTGTGAAATTATGTCACTGAGCCATGGTGTCCAGGAAACCTGCTGGATGGACAAAGGTTGAAATCAGAAGTCAGAAAAACACGAACAGAGGATGTTACATTAACATGTAACAGACAAGTTAGTACAAGAAGACGAGTCAAGTGACACAACACATCAGCAGATTATGATAAAAAAGCTTAATAACACTGATATACAAAAACACACACAATGACACTTCCTGATTTCACAAATTGTTGGGAGTTTCGCCAGACTTCCACTCAGTGAGGAAGCCCCTTTGAAAGAATAGCTTTGAAAGCTATCAATTACTTCACACTGGAGAAAGTTTAACTACTGCAAAGCTATCTTCTGGAGAAATCTAGTTTGGTTAACTAAAGCTACTTAAATAGAGTAGTTCAAAATACTTGGCAAAAAAATGTATCACATGAGGGCCACATGTGATATGTATGATGTGCAAACTGTAGTAAAACTAGAAGTTAGATTACATGTAGGTACTGATCCCCAACACTGCGCCAACTGACAAGGGTCACAGACGCTCAGAGTGGATGCACTGCAGTGTGAGGAGGACATGTGATGAAGATGACGATGAAGCGTGAGTTTATCGCTTTACTGATTTAGAACCTGTGAACAAGAAAAGGTAATGTACAACACAACAGGCTGGGTTTGCTCATTGTTGGGTAAAACCCTCTTTCATTAAAATGTCTACTTTTCAGGAACTCAGAAAACCACCTCTGTTGTCATCTTGACATACGTCTCTTTTCAAGCTCACCAAGGTGGTTTTTAAAAGGTTTTATGAAACCAGCTTGAAAAATGAAAATGACCAAACTAAAGGCAACACTGGGAACAACAAATAAGAATGGAAATACCAGACGAGGTGTGGATAAGAGCCTGGGAAACTCAGCATACCTCTACAACATACTGAGCACACTAACTAAGTATTTTCTTAGTTTTATAACCACTAAGCATAAGTAAAAATTTATTAAGACCCAGTATTGTTGACATATTGACAAAGTATGTTTTTGCTGATAAAACTACTGTTTATTGAAATGGAGTCTGGAGGGTTTGCGAAAGGAGATTTCAGGCTGTTTCTGGTTAAACAAAAAGGTTCTTACTCTTTGACAAAAAGGTCTTATTCTGTAAGGATCCTTTCTATAATGCTGTCAGACACTTATAACAACCTGAGCATGTCAGTGGCAAACACAAGCACAAAAATTAAAAATTAAAGACATCTTGACTTGATTATAGTTTCACTATTTTCTAACAAATAATAAGTAAGGAAACAATTCACAGGTTGATCAACGATGAGAACAATCAGCAGCATCTCCAACAGAATGGATATAATTAGCTTTGGTGGCAGTGCTGACCTAAAAATGCAGGGAGATATAACTCTAAACATTAAGAGTGAATTTGCCTGTGAAGGTTAGAGGTTTTAGAATATAACTGAGTTATTGTTCTGAGTTTCACTTGTCACGCTTCCTGCTGGAAAGCTCTGATGGGCAGGAAAGTGACAACTCGTGATGTTGCTGCTTCTAAATATTGTTATCGAGGAACTGAGAAAAACACAAGCTACCTGTTAGTAGCCCGATGTGAATGATCTGAAAAGTTTTGGGGTGGGTGAGCTGGGTTTCATAAGATGTCAATAATTTCTCATGACAGCAGATACAGTGTTATCAGAGTACATAGCAGGTCATAAAGGGCACAAAGGTCCTCTGAAGCAGCTGGTCTGAGGTATCAATAAATAGTTAAAATGATGGTGAATGACCCTGAAATTATCACTACAGTTAATCTGTCCAGTCAATCTCAGTAGGTTACGTCTTTCTTTTGTCTGAGGAATGTGTCAACCACCTAAAACTTTGATCCTAACTAATCCTGATCATGCTTGCTTTGAAGCACCTGTATAAAAATGTGGTGGTCAGCACATACCAGACAAACACTGGAGTGACACTGCCTTAAAGGGACATTTCACCTCAAAAAAGGAAAAATGTCCTTTTGATTTAGTGGTGAACTGTCCCATTAAGAGTGCAATTAAAAGTAGATTTCAGGATGTGTTTCTGTAATACACACCTTATTTGACTCAGTGTCACTGACACTAGAAACTAGCCACTCAGTAATGAAGAGCCACAGATGCTTTCTCACACAGCCAGTTTTTCCAGTTTGTACTTTCCCGTGCACACACACTGACACTTACTGAACATTTGTCAAATTGTGAAAAAGAAAGTAAAACAAATGAGAAAGATACTTCTTGGGAAATAAATCCTTTTAAAAAACATTCAGTAAATAAATCAATTAAGTTGATTTTATTCTGATAATCGACTGAATGTTTCAATCACTCATTGATCAAATTTAACTTTTTGAACGTGCCGATTTGCAAAGTATCTCTCTTGTATATGATTTTAAATAGCTTATCTTTGAGTTCTGGACCTCCAATCACCGAAAATGTGTAACTTGAAGACGTCATTTGGGTCTTCAAAATTTTGTGATGAGCATTTGTCACTTTTTCCCAACATCTTATTGACCAAATTAGCATCGCTTAATTGAGAACAGAATCTGCAGAATAGACATAAATGTACTACTTTGGCCATTTTCAACCAGCTCTGTTTGTCACAAGTGTGGGCAGTTTGTGTAAAATGAACAGTGTTTGGCTTAAATAGTTTTTACCACAACAATGTCTTTGTTTCTGAGGGCTGCAACTAATGATTATTTTCATTATCAGTTTATCTTCTGATGGTATTTAACTGTTGGGTCTAACATCAAACAAAAAAAGAGAAAAATGTCTATCACAATGCTTAGAATATTACTTAGTACTATCAGACCTGTTGCACTTAGATCTCCATCCTTCGACTTATCAATTAGGTGACTAATTATTGCAGCACGATTACTTTTACAAATGTTTTGCATGGGTTGATCCTTGAAAAGCTTCTTTGAAATGCGTGTTGGCACATCAATATCATCAAAAAGACCACATGAACACATTGTGCACCCCTGATACATTGTGCTGTGTTGCATCCATGACAGTCCATTGACAAAGCATTTACTTTTTGCCATCACCATGTGACCTGTGTCTGCAAGTGAGTGTCTGTGCAACTATGTGTGTGAGCCTATCATGAGATCATCAGAAAAACAGCCCAATTCACTTCTTTTTTTCCCTAAAACAATTACTGTATTATGTAATGTGTGTTATATATTATTAAAATATACTGTGACACGTCTTTTCTTATTAAACCTGTTTGGACTGAAATTGAAAACTCACTTTCAAATAAGCAATGTGAGAGCAAAGTGTAAGAATTAATGTTAACAGTGATATCTTTTTTTTTTTTAAACATATTTTTTGGGCATTTTTTAGCCTTTAATTGACAGGACAGACAAGTGTGAAGGGGGAGAGAGAAGGGGAGTGACATGCAGGAAATGGCCATAGGCTGGAGTCGAGCCCAGGCCCCTGTGGCAACAGCCTTGTACATGGGGCGCCTGCTCTATCCACTAAGCCACTGACACCCCGTGATATTTGTTTATTTTGTTTATTTTAAGGATCCCCATTAGCTGAATGCCTTGGCAATCAGCTAGTCTTCCTGGAGTCCACACCTTACATACAATATATTACACTACATTACATATAAAACATACAATTTCATCAATTTACATTATAAAATACAAAGCTTATGTTTATATGAAAGTTAAACAGAAAATAAAGAAGAAAGACTGAAAAAAAAGGAATTACATTCAGTCATTTCAGTTCAAAATTGGGTACACTGTAGGCTACATACATTAAAGTAGAATACTATATAATCAATATATTGAAAATATATATATATTTTTTTTAAAAGTCAAAAAGACAAAGAAAAAATTGCACAACTTGTAGAAACACACAATATTGTAAACACACACAGAGCATACCTTCTATTTTTCACATTCATCTACAGGCCAGCAGATGCCTCTGCATGTCCTTTTTAAAGAATAATTTATTTTTAATAAGCCGGATTTTGAAAGGTAAACTATTCCAGTATATTATGGCTCTGTAAATGACAGTTTTTTGCGATGAGGTAGTCCTTAGACTGGGAACCACTATATGACCATTATCTCTTAATATCTTTAAATAAATAAGGGGATACCTATTTCCGACAACAAATAAAATGTATCATTAAAAAATAATAAATAAATTCACTGATAAATGATTTTAAGATAGTTAGTAGTTAGTTAGCACAGTATTCAATTTATAATGACATAAAACAGAAACAAATAAGTACTCTTTAGCCTCTAGTTGATTTAACCAGAAGATATTTGGTAAGGTTAGTTAAATTATTAATGATGTAGCTGATTATTTTCTGTCAACCAGCTCCTGACTGTGCTAAAGGATACTACAGCATTGTCGTACATGGCTAAATAATGTAAAATGTAAATTGACAACTAATTAAACAAGTGGAAATTCAAGTGGAGCAATGTCTTTTTCTATAAATGAGATAAATAACATGAAATAACGAGGGCAACGACTTATACTGTGTGAAATACCAAACACTATAATTATTAGTAGTAGTAGTACATTTTAAGCTATCTTAAAACAAGAAAGTCCTTCATTATTTGAAAATGTCTCAGTTTCTGTTATGTGCCAAATATCAGACATATACAGATATACAACAAAAACCTTTTAGACAGGTCTGTAAATGTTACATTACATTAATACATAAAAGAATTTAAGTTAACCTGAACTTGCTAGTTTACAGTAGCTTAGCTTGTTCGTTAACTTGCTACAACCTGTGTAACTTATGCCTGTTTGACGTCAACATGTATGAATATTTTGTCACCTTACCTTGTGAAGGGTTTTAAACCAGAGATTTGTGGTTAAGGCAGCTTGAACGTAAAAGAATATAAAACATAAACCGGGTCATGTCGTGTCTATAACACAGCCGTCGAGACAACAAATGAGCTGTGTTGCTGTTTTCACGACCAGAGGAAAACAGTCATGTGAGCGATACTTTGAGGAAACGCAGATCTATATAACACTGGAGCAGCTGCTCCTCCTTTCAGGCTGTCCCGTGAAGCTAGCTTGTATGTTTTACAAATCCGTACTACGGGTGTGACGTCATAGCACATGACCAACGGCTGTCCCGCCCTCCTCTCTCGGTTTGTGTCTCGAGCTTCATATGTTAGTTTTCAAAAGAACTAACAATAAAGATATGAAACATCAAAAGTTATTTTCACTCACGCTCAGAAGTACTTATTTTTCCAAATACCTATAGCACATGTCTTTTATACAGCTGGTTCTAGTATATTTTAGAGTTCTTAAATTTTGGTGTTCTTAGGCCAATAAAATTAGTTAAAATTAAAAGTTTTAGCATTTAACATCACATCCTTCTATTTAAACAGCATTTAGAGCTTTGTGTTGGTGATAAAAAAAAAAAGACAAAATAGAGTCCAACAGTTACATGACATAAAATGTAAAGGCTATGTGGTATTTTGGGGTGTGTAGGGTTGTATTAGTAGACTTTAGGTAATGCCGATCTCCTCACTTTTGTACATTTTAGGTCATGATGGCACACAGAAAGCTGCAACAACTAAACTTTTGTGACATCTGGATGCAGCAGCAAAAGACACATCACCTCAATATGACTAGTTCAGTAAAAGAGAAAGATCTTATAATTATGTTGTTGTTTTTTTGCCTCAGTTTTACCCCTTCTCCACCAAATAAGCTCTGGTTCTTGAACTAATTCCATTCAGGATTTTTGAGACCTTGGTGCTATCTAGCAAACTAGCTCACCTTTCCACCAGTGTTTGGCGAGACCATTACAACCAAGGATGCGTCATCATCAGAGGGTGTTGCATTATTTACATCGGAAGAACCTGCAAGATTTTGTTCTGTTATTACAGATGTATGTTTTTTCCGAAAACCAAGCATAGACCAACTATTAACAAGACCACTGCACTCTCCTCTTTTCTGACGATTTCTCACTTGACTTGTCCATTGTTGCCTTCTCCATCCACTCTTTCCAGTCTGTACAATATGACACGCCCATTGATGTCATCACAGTTAGCACTTCAGGTTAAGGAAAACCTGCTAATTTAAGTTCCAGCTGGAAACCAACCTTTTGGGTTCTGTACCAATTTAATCTTGGTCAAAATACTGTTAACAGTTCAAAATTAGATGCAGGAACTGGAACACAACCAGTTCCAAGTTGGTGGAAAAGTGTTAGGAGCTGCCTGTTGATCTGAGCTTCATGCACACACACATTTTCTGTGTTAAGTAAGTTTACAACAATCTACAACAACAAACACAAAGAGAAAGAGACTCCACTCAGATGCCACAAATTTCAGTTTTTTACTTAGTAAAACAAACTTGATTGTTTTTTCTAAAAAATTATAAAGTAACACATATTTGACATTTTTACAATCTCACACATTTTCAATGCATGGAGAAGGTAAATGAGTTATTGCATTGGTTTTAAAACATCATAGCTTTACAATCACAGTGCACTTTGATGTATTTGCATGAGCTGCAGAAGTGTTTCGTCTTGTTTATTTTTTTATAAAATAAATACTGTAGTTGAAGAGATGATGTCAGATTTAAAACACTGCAAATCAAAATGGTTTTCATAGCTCATGGCACTTTTACGAAAAAAATATTAAAATCTTTGAAGGTGCTTTGGTTTTTCCTGGAGGAAAATTAAGATTCTTATCTTTCTTAAGATAAAACAATAAAATAAAAAACATCTAAAAAGTTTATTTCAGAAAAAAACTGTCATCAAACGTAAGGCTTTTGGTGTATTTTTGTATCAGAAAAGTGCTTATTTCTTTTGGTCCAGCTGGACAGTCCACAAGTGGTCAGAAAACAGACACAGATGTAAGTAAAGCAGCCAATGTTCAGATGGTTAATAACACTTAAAAAATCCTATGTTTGCCAACATACTTTTTGTTGGAATTATTGTACAAATAAGTTAAAATACTCACCTGAGTGTAAACTTTAAAATATTATTAATAAAAACTCCTTAAAATTATTCCTGATCAAACTATCCTGGTCTATTGATATGAATGTTACGCTATGCTTGGCTGATAATATTGTAGGTACACCTCTCACATTCTTTACAACAAGTGTAAATCATATATTTCTATAATCTATGCATCAATTTATGGTGGTAGTAATCTAAATGTCTTGTGTTCTGGGTTAAAATATATCCAGCTGTCTTTAAAAGCTGTACTACATATGCCATCTTTGTTTATTTGTCTGATGTATTTGTCTGCCTTTGTATGTTTTATCTGGAGATGGACCTGCGCCTGTGTTTCTCCGCTTCTGCTCTCTCCTCCTCAGTGAGGGCCCACTGCTGGATCTTCCCACTGGCAAATATGGTGTAGATGAGAGCGCCACTGACGTTAATCCCAGCTGCCACCCAGAAGACCGTCCTCCAGCCTGCCAGGGTGTGCTGACAACCAAAGAAGAAGAGGTAGTGTATTACTTCAGTGACCCGTTATGTACAGTATTGCGAGTTGAGTTGCTTTTCAAATTGCTCCTGATAAATTACCAGTGGTTAAGGAAGTATCCCTTACGACCCATTAAAAGTGTGTGGTGGTGAATTTCACTGCAGAGATTCTGCCCTCTGCCTGTATTTTCTAATTTTCTGTGTTCTGGATGTTTATAGTCGTGTTCCCCTACAGTGCTCAGGTGAGGTTGGGGCTTTATAACAAGGTAGTCGCCAGGTGCTGAGCTGTAAGCAGCAAGGATCTAAAGCCATGTTTCCATTAAAAACTTTTGGCATATTGCCTTTAGAACCAAAAGTAAGTCCTAGGCACGTGTTCCTAGACCATAGGTATTTCCTCTTTACTGGTGATGAAGAGGGAAGTCTGCACTGCGTTTATGATCCACAAAACAGGGTTGAATGCTGACATTTTCAGAACAACAACCAAAAAAAAGAAACCTGTAGTGAGTCTCTTCTCAGTGGAATATTTAAAAATAGTGTGTTTGTGCACTGAGTCCTTGTCTAGAAAGAACAGGGGTGTGGTGCTGCTGGAGTGCACCAGAACCACACTCCACCGTGTTTTTTTCTCCAAGTGAGGAAACAGAATATATGCCGGTTAAAATTCATATACAGTTTTTAAATGCTTGGTTTTTAAAGATCCAATCATCACTCAAGCATATGTCATTCAACAGAGACAACAGAAACGATTGGAATGGTCAGAGTTGTCACATTGACATTTAATGTGTGTTGATTGAATCATGTTTTAAACTTCGGCATTGAGTAACGTTACAACTTAATGTTTCACCTTAAAAGTTGCTGGTCACTGCAAGCATTAGCCTTTGAACAGCAGGGTGAATTAAGAAAAATTCCATAGTCTACAGCTGCTGCTAGAGGCAGCAAAACATCCTTTCATTTTATAGTTATAGTTTACTTATGTATGAAAAACTTGTCACAGTATGAACAGAACATGAGCTCCAAAATCAGCCACAACTCAGCCCTGAGCAAGAGTGATAGTTCTCTGTTTACCAATCAACGGACTGCAGAGTTTCTAGCTCCACTCTTTAGGACCAGATCAGTGTGCAAGGTACCCCAACAGAGGGGTGACCAAAAATGGGGACAGTTCTATTGGTACCATCCAAAACTTTTCACAGTTGAAACAGAAAAATAACAATTCTAATGTGTTACGAAATGAACTGAACTGGACCTGACTGTTTGGTGGAAACAAGGCTTAAGAGACACAATGCTGAGAAAAGCGAATATAGCAAGGCAATATGCCACATGAAAATGAATATGGGATTGGCTTCACTTTAACTTTTGTTGGCAAGCATATTTATGAAAAGTAAATCCTGTTTAATACACCTTTAGTAAAACTACTAATATCACACTGTAAAAACAGAAAAAATAGTACATATATAAATGCTGTATATACATGGTAATTTAAGAGATCAAACAAATCCTTAGTGAAGTCCCCACTGACTTACATCCTCAGTAAAGTATCCTGTAGCTATGGGTGCCAAGACTCCAGGAATGGTCCCAAAAGTGTTAGTGATTCCCAAAAGAAATCCAGCATACCTGAAGGAGAGAGCGAGTAGTTATCAGCCTAAAATGTACTACTTTCTACAAAGTCCTAATACAGTTACTACATTTAATTTAGTTGATAACACATGAATATTTATGAGTCCAGAGGAACAAAACTGGATGTTTTCGCTGTCCACATCATTAGGTTATTCATACATCTAAGTTTTCATCAGAACTGAAACAATTGGTTGATCAACAGGAAATAAATTCTGATTCTTAGTTATCTCAACAATAAAAGCAAAAAACAATCTCTGGTTTTAGGTCTCAATTTGCTGCTTTTCTCTGTTTTATATCTTTGTAAACTGAATGATCTGACATCATGCTTGGCCACATTCAACCGTGATCCTAGAGTGTGGTCAGTTATACCTACCGCGGAGCAATGTCTATTTGGTTCACATAGTATCCAGAGGTGGTGATCCCTGATATGGTGCTGGAGAGTGTGAGGAGGGTGACAGCGAGGATGTGGCTGCAGCCGGCGTAACTTGCACCCACGAGGAGAGCTGCTGCTGGCAACAGACCTGCAGAGAGGAGGATGATGTTAAAAAAAAGGAGGAAATACCAGTGTATTTTGAGAAACATCACTTGATCTAAACCAGATGAGGGCAGCATTACACTATTTGAAACCTGAGTCATGACAGACATTTGAATTTGGTTTCTGGTCTGTAATTAATGAGTTTCCCCTCAAATATAGTAATAGGTGACTGAAAACCCCAACACCGCTGCCTGTGTGGAGGACAGTTTCTCATTTCAGTCTGTACACGTGTGTCTGTATATGAGCTAGCAGTAGTCGCACACTTCTTTCTGTGCACTGATACATTTGGCAGGTGCAGCTTGGTGGACAGAAAATAGTTCCTACATGAAAATGCTCACAACAAGGTCTGTGGATTATGTTGAATAACTGTGCCATGATTTCTGGAAAGAGAAATTGCTGTGAGCTCCAAAGGCCAATTGCCATCTACTTCGGTTATATTGGAGAGAAGGCAGAAATCTCTACAGTCGATATCTCCAACACTCTGCAGCTCACACCACAACAATCTAGACCGATAAATAGCACAACAGGTAAGAGAAAAAATGTGTTTTTGATTTTGGGGGTGAGCTGTACCTTTCAGTGTTTTCATATCCATATTTAGTGATCAATGTGGGTTTCTATAAAAAGAGACATAAGTCTACATAGTTCATCAGAAGTGGAGGTTCACACGTTGTGCCAGAGCCAAAAAAATAATGTCAAAAGTGGAAAACAGGCTGTACTTTAGAAAATACGTCAGACTGTCCAATGTTAATTACTTCTCAGAGTCCTTAACTTCCTCCATACCTATAGCCATTGTCCTGTGATGCTCAGCCTGACACAGAGGCAATCATGCAGCACAGGTGTACAGAAGAGATATAAACAAAGAGGCTCGGAGGAGAGAAGTTTTTTTTTTACCTGCAACTGTGAAGAGCTTGCGTACGACAGTGACGCTGAACACCCTCCTCTCGATGAGACTGTCAGCTACGACACCTGACAGCGTTGAGAACAACCAGCCGCCGAGGTACGGCAGAGCGGAGAGGAAACCATTCTGGACAGAGAGAAAGAGTTGTATTCAAAGGATTTAGTAAATACATGTTGCTCGTCTTCATCCAGTTTTTAGTGATGTGTAAGTAAGTAAGTATATTACAATGCCTTGTCATGAAATCTTGGTAAAGACTAATGTTTGACATGCTTAATGTCTTTCTCAAGGGCTAGATGAGAAGACTGATGTGTCTCTCATGTCTGTACGGTAAATATGAAACAGCAGCTAGTTAGCTTAGTTTAGCATAAAGACTGGAAACAGGGAGAAACAGCTAGCCTGGCTCTGTATGAAAAAACAGTCTACCAGTGCCTCTAAAGCTCAAAAAGTAATATGTGAAAAGCAAATTAAAGAATAATTACTTAGTACAAAATTTGTCCCAGTTCTGTTTTAAACTGGGTTGAGTGACAGAAAACAGCTAGCATTATTTAATAACAGAATAATGACTTTGTGATGCCGCTTTTAAACACCTTCACATATGTTGTTCTTTTAGATTAGATTTACATTTTTTGCCTTTATCATAAAGTATGGAGATGTACATCAATTATAATTATCATTTATTTTCTATCATTATGTATGATTACTGATTATCATCATTTTTTAACGTGAAATGGAGGAACAAATAAATCAAAACCTCACTGATTTAAGGTCAAAGTGCATGATGACGTTCATATAGGTAGGCAGGGAGGTGAGCAGGGTGTAGTAGGACCAGTGTGCACACATCTGGGTGATGATGATGGCCCACAGAGGAACCGACAGCAGCATGGATAGAAGGGGCACGGACCAGCCATGACCTGTACCCTGCAGATAGATGACAAAATCTTGAGAAAACACTACACATATATAACAAAAAATGCGGGAGAATATAAACTAAGAGGGAAACTTTCACTTTAAGTTTAAAGGTGTATTATGTGAAATTTTATGCAGAATTTATATGCAATTCCTGCATAGTATACCTTGAAAAGAAAGAAAAGACAATTCTGTCAGATGTTCTCATTTAAGACATATTGACTTGTTGGCATAAAGACAGCTGGACAACAAAAGGACGGCTGAGGGGAAAAGAAAGTAAAAAAAGAGGGAACTGTGTGGAAAACAGGAAGTTTGAGGAGTTATTTAAGAGCAACATTTCACACTTAGTAACCAATTCAAATACTTGGAGGGAATTCAGATGGAAGGTAGTAATGAGAGTTTTTTTTATAGACACCAGAGATAGTGGCTAAAATGGGCTCAACATACTCAAATAAATGAAATAATTAATAAATGTTGATGAAACTGTGGTCCACAAATTGGCAACCATACTGACATATTTTGGACATGCACTAAGTTAAGTACATTTTGGTAAGAGATTTTTGAAGCACTTAAGAAAATATCTTACCAAAATTTCACAAAAGACTCAAGTATAGCAATATCGGGTCTAACACAGAGGGCACTGATAGGAGAGAGGAAAAACAGCTTTTACAAATATTGACAACAGCAGCACTTGAATTACAATTAAGTGGTTAAAACCTGACCGACATATAATATGTGAACTGAGAAGGAATGGGAATTTACCAGATGGAACAGATAATGTACTCCTAGAGTCTCCAAAAAGAAATATTTTTTCAAAGATGGGGCCCTGCTATCGCCATACTAACATAGTGAACTAAGTGAACACTGTGACATCAACACTCAGAGCGCTCAGAGACCGATGGTCACTCCAGAGGTATATATCATAAGGCTGGCTCATGCTTTCTTGACCTCATGGGAGCTACAGGGTATGACACATGTGCAATGGACCTTTCTCACAGCAGACCTTTGACTTGTCATTGTAGGAAAAGCACAGGTGAAGTTAATAACATTAACAATGGCTCAGTTCCATTAATTGTGCCAGTCAGCTATTCCAGTGAGACAGCAAGCACAATACCAAGACCTCCCCTACATGAAATTCAGTTATCATTAATGTTATTGTGCTTTACCTATTATGACATGTCAAAATGTCTGCTGTGAAAAAGGTCTTTGTAACTGCAGCTGTGATGGTGGAGGGTTTCAGCAGACGCAGTAAGAGATAAAGGGTTGGTGTCTTCTCAATTGTTCTGTGGGTGCATTCGGCCTGACAGAACTTTTTGCCTAACCCTACACTCACAGTATCGTCTTTTATTAATGACCCTTTCAATAATTGCCTAATTCTACATCAGATGCTGATGCAGCTAATTACCAGCTGCTTGCCAACGTATTACAACTATCAGCAGAAGATGCCGTTGCCTCATTGAAATGATGGAGTCTGCAGGTATATCTGATGATTAGTGAAAAACAGTAAACTGCTAAGCCTTCAGCTGGTCAATCCATGGTAGTTGGGGTGAAATATCAGATGCATTCAATTTCAATCCTTGCTCCTCTTCCACCCGTTCTTGTTGTGTTTTCTAAGTGGCTTCTGTGCTACGTAAGCTGTTTGGTATTACCAAGTGCTGAGGGTAAGTGAATAAGGGGAAGAGGGACGGCTAACAAAATGCAGCGTCAGGTTCAATACATCCAAAACTCCCTTTCTGACATACCGTTTGGCTAAAAAACAGCTGCATAAATCACCTTCTTGGCAGCTTCCATACAAACTGGCGATACAGGGAAACTGTAGGAGTGGACTCATAATTTTATAATTTGCTGTGTAATGTATTTATATTAATCATTTCTTTATCTTGTCAATAAAGAGGAGCTGCAATACAGCAATGCACAACACAGTGAATTAGGTGATGGTTAATGTTTAATGTGCACCTGAGGTCCGATGGAGTTTATGATGTAATCTCTCTCCTCTTTGCTGATTCGACGATGAGTGTGAGGGTCATCGGATACAAAAATAAACCAAAACACGGTCCAGAGGCAACCAGCACCCCCTGAAAGACAGACAGACAGACAAAGAGGTGAATAATTAAAGGAAAGGTGCTGGTATTCAGGGTTAAAAGTGAATGCCTGATGCCATAATAAAATAAAACTGCTCCAAATGTATCTTGCATCAAAAAAACAACAACATATTTTTGAAACCCAATCAGCGTAAAAAGTAATATTACTACTGTCATAACGCAAACAAAAATAATGCTATAATATAAGGTAGCACAGTCACTATTAAAGATAAAATCCATAAATTGTTTTTGTCATGTAACAGCAAAACTTTTCAGCAGTAGTGGAAAGTATCTTAGCACATTTACTCAAGTATTGTATTTAAATACAAATTGTAGGTACTTGTACTTTACTAGATTTTTGGTATGTGCTTCTTTTACTTTAACTCCACCACAATTCAGAGGCAGATATTGTAGCCTATTTTATATTAAACTACATTTATTTGATAACTTTTGTCGCTAGTTACTCTGCAGATTCAGATAAAAAAACATGTTATTACACAAGATAAGACTTTTCTGAACCCTGGGATCGTGTATAAAGTAATAAGCTTTTTATTTAGCACAATTTAACTTTAGCTGGTCCATGCTGTAGACTGTCCGGGTGCTACACTGACTTGGCAGTCTTCTTGGCAGAAGAAGAGACCTCTGCAGATAATTGGGCTATTCTGCATCTTTGCTACTTTAAGCACATGCCCTGAGTGTTTACATTTAAGCTACATTGCTCATTCAGCAGCAACAATTATTTAATCACATTTAATTTGTTTCACTTTATTTATTCATATCAGAGAGGGAATTTGTGTTCTGCAAATTTCAATTTCTTACTGTGCAGCATCTACCACCCTGGCATCTTTCCTGTGAGAGACTGAGGTATGTCATGCTTTATATGTGAATATGTGATTGCACTTGGGTATTTCCCTCCTCACCACAGATGTAGAAGACAGCAGGCCACCCTAAGGTTTGGCAGATGTAGCCGGTGAGCGGCAGAGCGACAAAGGCCCCAAAGTTGCCCCCAGATCCCGACAGGGACATAAGGCGAGAGCGCTCCAGAGGAGGAGCCCACCGAGCCCACATGGACATCATGGCTGGGAACGTCACACCCTGAAGAAACATGGAGAGACAGGCAGTGAGACGAGAGTGAGACAAGTGTGGCAAACAGCAAGACGCATCCAACACAATCAGTATTCTTGGTAATAAATAATGTGGATGTGTTGCAGTGCTGTAGTCAAGACCACCTAAACCAAGACCAAGTCATTTTCAAGTCTTATCAATGATGAAAATAACTGTTAGTTTCAGTTCTGGTGTAAAAGCAACTAAAGCAGAACAGGATAAACAAATGTTCACAAAAACTCTCAAATTAGGATTAAAAATCTCTTTAAAAGAATTAACTGACCAGAAAGATTAATGAACAATTACATGAATATTGTGTAGAAGTAACAAAACAGACTGGTAAACTGGTATGAAATTCTCAGTCATGGTTGAATTTAACTAAAAAAAACAATATCTGCCAGATGTATCCGCAAATAAATGTCTACAACTCTATTATTGTTGTTAAGTTCATCCTTAAAAGGTTATGCATTGTAAACTAGAAGTACTAAGTCGTGAAACTGACTGTACACACAGTAGCCTCCTGTGTCCTGCTCAACACAATCTTACCTCTCCAAAGCCCTCCAACGCTCGCAGTGCAAACAGCCAATACGACCCCATCTGGGCAGCCAGAGGGGTGAGCAGCGTGAGGACCGCGGTGCCCAGCACACCCAAACCCAGGAAGATGGTCCCCCCGTAGTGACCGGACAGGTAGCCCCCCGGGATCTGTGTGCACAGGTAGCCGAAGAAGAAGGCTCCCAGCAGCCAGCCCTGAGTCTCCGAGTCCCAAGGATACTGGGGGACCTGGGACAAGAGGACAGAGAGTGGGAAGTGTTTATGGTAACAGTTTTCACCACTTAGCGAAGGCAATAGAGGTTGTATACAGTCTGTCTTCATCACAAATGTGTAAATAGCAGGGATGCACCCACTGTGAGATTCTGGGCCGATACCAATATTCTGCCGATAAATTGGTGCATCCCTAGTAAATAGGGTGAAAGCAGATAGGATTGAGATCTGTCTCAGGCAACATTCATATAAGGAAAAATCTGGACTGGAATTTTCCAGTCAAACCAGTAATTTTTAGCACTTTTGCCTTTATTAGATAGTAAAGTCTAGCATGAAATGGGAGGTAAGAGAGGGGATGACATGCAGCAAAGGGCCTGAGATGGAATGTGAAACGTTAAGGTTTTCCTCCAATTTGAAGTTCATAACTGCACTGCAGTGCCAAGTCAAAGTAAAAACAAAACTATATCAGTATAAATTATACATAGGCTACAGTGTGAACAGAAAGAGGACCAATCAGAGCTGAAGTGGACCAGAGAGAGAACTGAGTCCTCTTTCAAATGAACTGACAATGTGAATGCAAGAAGAACTGAGTCCCCTTTCTGTCTGTCCACTTTTTGGTCCACTTTAAGAGTACTGAGTTTGGTTCCTTTAAAAAGGACCAAGTGTGAAAACACCCTTAGACTTACTTAATTCAAAGACACAAATCTACGTACTGCATGTTATCTTATAGCAGGTGCCCTATCAAAAGTGTTTCATTCCAAACTACACACATGTTTAAGATTATTCTTTAAGTACGTTACCCCCTCAGGTTGTAGTAAAGTGTCACTGGTGTTTTCCGTCCCTGTTGGCAGGGGACAGGCAGAGGTGATGGAGCTGTTCTGGGCTGGTTTGGAATCAGTGGTATTCACCATGGCTACCATGGCAACACTCAGGTTGACACGAAGACCGTAGACCATGGAGAACCCCAAGAACATCAGGAAGGCCAGGTTGAGGCGAGCCGAGCAGCACACAGGAGGAACTGTTCACATAGAATACAATGATTTTAACATGCAGTCTGGACTGAGAGCATGGAGTCATTGTGAATATCATTTCAAATGTTTCAGATTAATGTCAGAATTAAAGGGAATTTAGAGAATTCACCATCAACAATCTATAATATCATCAAATGATTCAGAGAATCCAGAGAATTCTCTGCATTTAAGGGACAAGGCTGAAAACCAACACTGAATGGCTGTGATCTTTGACCCCTCAGAAGGCACTGTATAAAAAACTGACTTGATTGTATAAAGGATAGTACGACATGGACTCAGGAACACTTTGGAAGACCATTGTCAGTAAACACAGTTTGTTGCTTCATATACAAATACAAGTTAGGACTCTACTATGCAAAGTCAAAGCCATATATCAACATCCAGAAGCACTACCGACTTCTCTGGGCCCGACCTCATTTGAGATGGACTGACACAGTGAAAAGGTGTGCTGTGGTCTGATGAGTCTACATTTCAAATTGTTTTTGGAAATCATGGATGTTCATGACGTTGTGACTTGATTAATAAGATAATAATTAATAAGAAAGATAAACGCACCTGCATCATTCTTGATGAGGGGCTCACTGTCCTCGCGCTCGTCCGAAGGGATGATGGAGTAGCCATTTGGTGGCGGCATGGCACTCATCTGACCTGGGAAATATTAAGTCTGTGAAATTCTGTCACTGAGCCATGGTGTCCAGGAAATCTGCTGGATGGACAAAGGCTAAAATCAGTATTCAGAAAAACACAAACAGAAGATGTTACATGAACACGTGACAGACAAGTTAGTACAAGAAGACGAGTCAAGTGACACAACACATCAGCAGATTATGATAAAAAGCTTAATAACACTGACACAAACACACACAAAACGGCACTTCCTGATTTCACAAGTTAGATAGGAAAATAATAGATAGTTAGCTAAGAAAAAGTTGATCTGTCTAAAAATCAGTCTATCTTGGGGTTTAAAAAAACATTGAATTTAAGAGTCTGATACGTGTGGACACTCTGCATTTAAGCCAAAATACCCAACTATTCACAGGAATGTCAGTAAACATTTTGTGAGATCTGCCAGAGTACATCTTTGTTTTAAACCTTCGATTTTTTTTTCTCTGCACGTCCCTTTCCCAGCTCTGTACAAAACTGTTCTTAATTTCTGTACTTAACTACACAAAAAAATGCCAAAAAAAGTAATTTAATTACTTAAATCACTATGCAGATATGAACCTGGCTGAACAACCAGGAAACCACTGCAAACTGTAGAACTACTAGTTAGATTACATGTAGGTCACTGACCCCCAACACTCACAAGGGTCACAGATGCTCAGAGTGGATGCACTGCAGAGTGAGGAAGACATGTGATGAAGATGACGATGAAACTCAACGTGAGTTTATCTCTTTACTGATTTGGAACCTGTGAACAACAAAAGGTTACATACAACACAGACTGGTTTTATTCTCACTGTTGGGTAAAACCCTCTTTCATTAACGTACATTTTTTTTCAAGCTCACCAAGGTGGAAACTCAGCACACCTCTACAACACACTGACCTGGAGTGACATTTGTTATAAACTGTTTCCTTAACCACTAAGCGGAAGTAAAAATTTAATTAACACCCAGTATTGTTGGCATATTGAGCATTTTTTTGGAGGAAGTGGGATGTTATCTGCCAATGATACTGCATTTTAGTGCTGATGTTTTGTTTCTCTGTCAGTAGTGGCAGCAGACTTTTTTTTAAACCAGAGTTGGTGATTGTTGGAACGACTGAAAGACAAACCAATATGGCTTTTGTAAATTTTATTTTGTTTCTGTCGACTTTGACTAAAGTGTTTTTTATGCCGATAAAATTACTGTTTATTGAAATTGAGTCTGGAGGGTTTGGCGAAGGACATTTCAGGATAGTAACAAGATTAATATTTTACTATTTTCTGACAAATAATAAGTGAGAAAACAATTCACAGGTTGATCAATGATGAACATGATTATGTCCTGGTGGCAGTGCTGACCTAAAAAAGCAGGGAGTAATAAACATTAAGAGTGAATTTGCCTGTGAAGGTTTTAGGTTTTAGGCCAGAATATAAATACTGAGTTATTATTCTGAGTTTCACTTGTCACGCTTCCTGCTGGAAAGCTTTGATGGGCAGTAAAGAGGCAACTTGTGATGTTGCTGCTTCTAAATATCATTATTGAGGAACTGAGAAAAACACAAGCTACCTGTTAGTATCCTGATGTGAATGATCCCAAAGGTTTTGGGGTGGGTGAGCTGGGTTTCATAAGATGTCAATAATTTTTCATGACAGCAGATACAGTGTTATCGGAGTTCATAACAGGACATAAAGGGCACAAAGGTCCTCTGAAGCAGCTGGTCTGAGGTATCAATAACCGGTTAAAACAATGGTGAATGACCCTGAAATTATCACTACAGTTCGTCTGTCCAGTCAATCTCAGTAGGTTACGTCTTCCTTTTGTCTGAGGAATATGTCAACCTTTGATCCTAACTAATCCTGATCATGCTTGCTATGAAACATCTGTACAAAAATGTGTTGGTCAGCACATACCAGACAAACACTGGAGTTACTCTGCCTTAGCAGGACATTTCACCCCAAAATAAAAAAAAGTTTCTTCTTACTACCAGTAAAAGAAAAACTATTTATGAGCAACACAAGCTGAGTGCCATCTAGTTCCATTATAGGGTACTGGAGATAGGCAGACATCTCTATGACCGATATCCCCAACACTCAGCAACTTGCACCAAAACAATCTAGAGTGATAAACAGCACTACAGGTAAAAGGAAAAATATGTCATTTTGATTTAGCAGTGAGCTGTCCATTTAAGAGCACAATTAAAAGTAGATTTCAGGATGTGTTTCTGTAATACACACCTTAATTGACTCAACTTACTGGAAACTAGCCACTCAGTAATTAAGAGCCACAGATGTTTTCTCACACAGCCAGTTTTTCCAGTTTCCCTCCTTCCCATAGACACACACTGACACTGGATGGCACATTCATATGTGCAGTCACAAGAAGGTTTGCTGTGTCTCCCAGCGTCTCAGTTTCTGTTATGTGCCAAGTATCAGACATATACAGATATACAACAAAAACCTTTTAGACAGGTCTGTAAGTATTAACCTGAACAGTTTACAGTAGCTTAGCTTGTTCGTTAACTTGCTATAACTGGTGTATCCCTGTTTGACGACAACATGTATGAATATTTTGTCACCTTACCTTGTGAAGGGTTTTACACAGAGATTTTTGGTTAAGGCAGCTTGAACGTATGGGAATATAAAACATAAACCGGGTCATATCGTGTCTCTAACACAGCCGGCGAGACAACAACTGAGCTGTGTTGCTGTTTTCACGACCAGAGGAAAACGGTCACATGAGCAACGCTTTGAGGAAACGCAGATGAATAAACACGGAATAGGAAACGCCTACTGTTAGGCTGTCCCGTGAAGCTCGCTTGTATGTTTTACAAATCTGTGCTAAGGGTATGACGTCATAGCACATGACCAACGGCTGTCCCGCCCTCCTCTCTCGGTTTGTGTCTCGAGCTTCAAAAGTTAGTTTTTAACCCTTAGATGCATGATACCTACACTCTTCCATAAGTGGGGTCAAAAATGACCCCAATTAGAATCAATGTGTTTTATTTGATAAACTTAAGCAATTTCTTTAATTTTGGTTGAAGATGATGATTTGTATTATATTTTGGTCAACAAAAGAATGATTTCATGTTTGACATGTTCATTTATCACTTTTTATTAACATTTTAACAATGACATCATTGAATAATCAATAATAGTATAATAGGCTACCTAACGGGTTAGATTTTATTACAAGGAAACTATAAATATCATAGTAAGGCTGCTTATCGCTACACAACAAATGCAGTAATACAGTACTAACATTAACGTTACATAGTAGTTAGCTAACTAGTACCTACATTGTAGTTAGCTAACACTAGCTAGCTTAGTTAGCTATTGTTAGCTAACTACAAAGTAGGCTGATTTGATGACAATAATACTATACTTTATCACACAAAAGTCATGGATGTGGAAAATAAGTTCATATTTTATAACGTCATATGTATTCCAAGAATGTAATACTTAGATATACGTTGCTGTATAAAAATCCTCCTGGGTGGTGAGACTGCTGGCATTAGATGTGTAAGTGCGACAGTAAATGTAGGCCTATACCTGACAGTCTCAGCTGATAAGAATCAAAGATTCCTTGGTCTAACCCTTGATATTCCATAGGAAATGCTTGGGGTCATTTTTGACCCCACTTATGGAAGAGTGGGGTAGTGATACAAAAACAACAATTTCTTAAAATGTAGGCTATATAAATGTTTTTTAAATGCAAATGGCCTCATGTCAAAAACATTTTATGAGGAATACCTGGAATATGAAATGATAAAAACTTTTAATTCCATAGATATTGAAGAAAAACAACCCCTGGGGTCATTTTTGACCCCACTTATGCATATAAGGGTTAAAAGGACTAACGATAAATTAAAATAAAAAAAAAACACCAACATTTGTTTTCACTCATGCTCAGTAGTACTTATTTTTCCAAGTTGTTTATTTAATATGCTGAAGCTAAGGGACTGTTCTTTACTTATCAGAGGAGGGGAGTTGCTGGAGTGGGACGTTGTTTTTTGTTTTGTTTTTTTACCCCCCCTGAAGCTGCAGTATTTTTCCCTTAATCTCCCTGAGTGACTAAGGGGAAATGTATGACCCTCCCTCCACTATGAATTAGTTGTTAGATTTTTAAAACGTACCCTTTGATGTTTGAAGGTTAAAAATTGAAAACAAAATCCTGGAGTTAAAAACATCTTGTTTTTTTGGTCATCCTGGTAAGTTAGTGCAAGCAGTTGATTTTTTTTGCAAAATTTTAAATGAGACATGAAGAATAAAGTGATATTGATGAAAGATAAGCAATAATATGCTCTGACTCCAGTTCATCGATAACCAGCATGAAATCCAATCATTCAGAAAACAGACAGGATATTTTACTGGAAATACAGCAAACACTATTCAGAATTCAGATGTTGGGACGAAACACAATGTTAGTGGAAATGAAATGGCCGACAAGTATGCAAAGGAGGCAACATGAATTCATCATATTGACAAACCCGTTCCTTTCAGTAAACAGAAATGAAGACCAAAATCAAGTAGAACAGAACATGTTCTACGTTACTGTGAAAAATATGAGGTCGAGAGAAGGGAACTTATATTAAAGCTCAAACAAAACATTTAGTTTTGATTCAAGAGATATTTTACAGAGAAGTTCATTTGAGAGATGTTATCAAGCATTGTTACAATATCTTAGGAGAAAATTCTGATTGAGAGAATGTAGTTTTATTTATCTATTTGTATACATTTTCATTATATTAGTTTTTTTCTTCTTGTTACCAGAGTTAGTACATTTAAGATAGAATCCCTATCCACACTCTATACCAGTTGGTGGCGGTAAAGCAATATAAAGTTGTTTGCTAACCGTCATAAAGTGCCAAGAAGATGATGAAGAAGAAGAAGTGGTGGAAGAAGAAGAAGAAGAAGAAGAAGAAGCTGTGGTGTTGTCATGTCAACGGATCCACCTCCTGTGTGTATGGACTGAAGCAAACATATAGCAACCAAGAATTCCATGTTTATTCACCTGCCACTAATCTTTAGGCACCTGTAAATTGTACAGCTATCGTCGCATTCATGGCCCATTACAGAGTGAGTATTAGATTACATACTCTCTTTAGTTGTTAATTATTTTCGCCCAGTAAATGTTAAAGTTGCCCGTGTCAGCATACATGCTAACTAGCTAGCATCACAGAAATGTACGTGAAGCTTGGTTAGTAACGCACCTCAGTATAGTTAGGCCTATTGTTATTAATCCAGTCAGACCTGTGCTCCCAACTCATGTCTAAGTCAAATATTTGTCTTGTGTTTCAGGCCTCGGAATCAAAAAGAGAACAGTTTAGAAGATACCTTGAAAAATCTGGAGTTCTTGACACTATAACAAGAGGTAGGTATAGACCTTATTCATCCTGTAAATGTACATCCAGTGCCTGGTGTTAAACACATCCATTAATGTGCTTTTCACTAGTATCCCTGCTGTGCTGCTTCATCAACATTTTGTCTCTCTCTCTGCAGTTTTAGTGTCACTGTATGAAGAGACTGACAAACCTGACAATGCACTGGAGTATCCTTATTTGTAGTGTTAAAAACAAGTGTTGGTGTGTCAAAGATGATGATACGTCTGTCCATCCTAGAAGAGAGATCCCTCCCGAGTTGCTCTTCCTGAGGTATTTGTGGGGAGTTTTTCCTTACCTGCTGTGAAGGTCCAAGAACAGAGGGATGTGTGTGCTGTGAGGCCCTCTGAGGCTAATTACGATTTGTGATATTGAGTTTTACAGATAAAATAGAAATTATTATTTGTAAAGCCCTTTGAGTCACACTTTATGATTGGGGTACAGTAAACTTTGTGTTGACAAATCTGTAAGGCACCCCCCAAAACTTCAACAATTAGTGTCCTCAGTTCCCAAATACTATACATACTCAGTGTTGTTAAAAGAAAAGGCGATGTTACTCAGTGGTAAACATGCTCCTGTCCCAACTTTTTTGAAAAGTGTCGCACGCATCAAATTCAGAATGAGTGCATATTTACAAAAAACAATCAATTTTATGAGCTTTAAACTTTAAATATCTTGTGTTGTATTGTTATGAGAAGAAACGGCAGGATAACATAAAAGCACAGTATTTCCTCTTTTAAAGGATGTCTTGTACTTTTGAAATGTCAGCAATCTCAGCTGGGGAGAAAACAAAAAGGTTTAAAATCTGTAATTTAGGCAGCCGGTGTGAGAGAATTGCATTTTTGTTTTGTATCTGTCTGGAACAAATGTGTCATGTGGAAACTGATTGCTCATTGATTATATAATTTTTTCCGTATAGGAGACTAAGGTGTGAAAAACAATTCCACATACCCAGTTTTATTCACAGGAAGCTTGTTCTTGTAAGAGGAGTTGTTTTTTTTTTACAGAAATCATAATTTTACTTATCATAAGCTTTGTTAAAACAATATGTTTCTGTGTCTGAATATCAAGGGCATAGTTGACCTTAACCACCTCCACAGTTTCATAAAGCTTCACCTCGGTGCAGCTGCTTTAGAGCCAGCAGACGCTGAGGCTCTTCGTATGGAGCTGTCTGACCTACATCAGAAATGTAACCTGCTTATGGAGGAGAACGAAGAACTGAGAAATAGGGTGAGATACTGGTAAAAGTCTAAATTTACAGATAAACAGCGCTGTCCCACTCCTACTGTGACCTCTAACCTGCCTTCATGTCATTTTCTAGCTGCTGCAGTACGAACCATCACCTGAGGAGGGAGCAGGGTAGTAGTAAGGATTTTTGTCATCGCTGTCTAGAGTTTAAAAGAAAAAATTAAACAATTGCAATTTTTGAAGAATATGTAAATGTTTATTAAATTGATGTACAGTGAACACAGAATCACTGCTATTCTTTTGTTATATAACAAGAAACAACTTTTGCTTTGGCAATCTCATTGTTCCTGTTTTCAACCAAAGGATACGCTTACACACACAGCCACCCATCTGAAATAAATACATTTCTAAATAAATTTTTTTGATTGGCCTTAAATTTTTTCAAGGACATTTTAATTGATATCAACTGCATTACTGAGTAAAAAGGCCATACAAAAGCAACAATTCATAGGGAAATTAAACTGATAAATGACATCACATTGAAGAAAAAATTGAAACTAATGTCACCAACACGAAGATATCCAGAGACATCCAGAACTAGGTATTTGTTATGTTTAATACTCTTGCTGAAGACCTTTTGGACATGTTGGAACAGGGGTTTAATGAATTCAGACGGTGTCAATGATTTCAAAGTATCCAGTTGTATAACAGCATATTGTGACCTGAAACAACATTATAGATCTGTGGTTCAGTTTTCCATTCCCCTCTAATCATTCAGACAGAGCTGTTGCATACAGTCAAATCATTAAATGCCCATCTGAATCTCCATGACCAGAGGTGTGGACTTGTGTCACAAGACATGGACTCAAGTCAGACACAAGTCATGAATTTAATTGACTATAGACATGACAAAATCAAAGAAGACTTACAACTTGACTTGGACTTAAACACCAATGACTCGTGACTTTACTTGGACTTGAGCCTTTAGACTTAAAAATACTTCATACCTTCCCACAAGCCCTAAGATTAAAAAGTATGTTTTTTATAAAGTGTGCGATGAATCAATTCATTCGACTAACGTTAAACGCTGTTCACTTCCAGCAAGTTGACACTTAATTCTTCAGATCCACTTCAAT